ATGTTAAATTGTACTGAAATTAAAGCCGCTTGTAATCCATCGGTTTTGCCTGTGCTTTCAGCACGGTTTGTTCACTTGCATCCACAAATACTACAGCGCAGAAGACTGGAAACTATTCGCCAGCGACAATCCAGATGTCATCAGCAATGTAGCTGCTAGTTCTGGAATCGCTCAAAACGACTACAGCAGGTACATTCACTTTTGCCCATTCGACTATGCCTTCAAACCCTCCACAATCTTCCACTAGACTCGTGGAGATTCTAGCGGCAGTTCCAGCAATAAAGTTCGTTTGCTTGGACGTAGCTAATGGATATACGCAGTTCTTCGTCGACTACGTGAGGAAAGTGAGGGCGGCATTTCCAACGCACACAATTATCGTCAGTATTGCTCCTAAGCGGGCTCGTTCAACAGCTAATCCAGATTTTCGTAGGCTGGAAATGTTGTAACAGGGGAAATGGTTGAAGAACTGATCCTCTCTGGCGCCGATATCGTCAAAGTGGGAATTGGTCCGGGATCAGTTTGCACCACCCGAATGAAGACTGGCGTAGGCTACCCGCAACTATCTGCAGTTATTGAATGCGCTGATGCTGCCCATGGACTACAAGGGCACATCATTGCAGTAAGCATTTTTCAGCATGAAACATCATTTAAAGCTCGACAAGAATTGATCTGGATTTTCTTAGGATGGCGGTTGCACCTGTCCAGGCGATGTCGCCAAAGCTTTCGGAGCTGGGGCCGACTTTGTAATGGCCGGCGGAATGTTTGCAGGTGATTTTCCCAATTTTATTCGTTATTATAAATGTTTTCCTGTTCCCAACTATTTCACAAGCACTTCGCACAATCGAGGCAATTTAATCGCAATAAAAGCGCTGCTGATCGAGCGAGTTTTTGTATATTTTACATACAAAAGCCGCACCGTCATTAGGAATTCACGAAACTAATCTTTGGCTTGCGCTTTACAAATAAACAAGTCAGATTTAGTTCGAATAATTGCTGAAATCTGCTTTGAAACGCTTTGAGGCCGTGGACGAAAAAACCTTCTTCCTGGCGTTTTAAGCATTTAAGGAATTTAGGCCTGGGAACCGACTTTTTTACTTGTTTTTTAGATTTATTTTAAGGGCCTTTTATTAATAATATTTTTAAAATTTCTTCAGAACTCAATGCTCAATTTTCTAGTTTCACTTAAAAATGCCGACAATCTTTGCGCGAAAAATTATGAAATAAATTTCGAATCCTTCGTCGCCTTCTAACGAGTTTTGAAATCTTTTGCCAACGAGTTTGGAACAAAAATCAAATATTTTCTATCAAATCCGAACAGATTAAGCGAAAGATTATTTGCAAATCTCGTCACTCCCATCCCTCTGAAGACTGTAAAGTTTGTTGAAAAAATGTGGTTTTTTAGTTTTGGCAGAATTTTTTTGCTTCACTTTACTCAAAAAAGCTGTATTTTGTAGTTTCACTTTAAACCACTGACGATCTGGAGGTCTTTTACGCAAAAAACTACAAGATAAAATTACAGCTTTGTGAAAATTTTACAAAACCTTTTTTCAGCGTCGAATTCGGGACAACAACGAAAATAAATTCCTCTCGCTTTTCCCCGAAGAACATTAGGGTTTCCTCCAAAACCGATGCGAAACGCAGAAAACCATTATTTTCTAATGGTTCTCTTCTTTTCTGACTATTGGTCTTTTTTCAGCCAAAAATTAAAAAAATAATTCTGCTAGAAACTTCGCCTCATTCATCGGTTTGCAGGGAACTTTAGAAAACCCATTTCAGCTTCGAATTTGGCATAAAAACCAAATAATTTTATTCGGTTTTTTTACCGAAACTAATTAAGAATTATCTCGAAAAAACGGCCAGAGAGCAAAAGTTTACAAAAAAATATTGGAAAAATTCGCCGCTCTCATCGCTCTGAAGATTTTTAAATTTTCAGGTTATTCCAGTTTTAACAAAGTTTCTATTAAGCAATTCTTTCGACGTAAAAATCGCATTATTTTTTAGTTTTACTTAAAATACTGACAATCTTCAGGTATTTTCCGTGAAAAATATCAGATAAATTTTATTGGAACACTCGCCTCCTTAACCGCTTTGCAAACATTTTTGGACAACTTTTCGCAGCTTCGACTTCCCAAACTCAAAAAGTGAAAGTTTATAATTGATTTATTTGAAAAACTCTTGAAAACTGCGATTTCCTCACTTTTAGGTCAACAGTTCTAAACAACACTGTCTCTGCACAGAAAAACCGCGATTTTCCGAACGTTTTACTGTAAAATACTGGCAAACTGAATCTTTTATCCAAAAAATGAAGAGATCGATTTTGCAAGAAAACTCGTCGACTTTCTTTGGACTCAGTTCAACTCACTCACTCAATCTAGATTACTTTTTTTAGTTGTTGAACAAAGTAGTTTTTTAGCTGCGAAAATTCCAGTCTCGGGTCTCGTAAAGCTTTAATAAATGACTCATTAACCGATGAGTTATAACTCGTTAACTCAGAGAACGGCAACAACTCAATAGCGCAACTCAACACAGTGTCACCCAGGCCTAGTTGAATAATTTCCCACCTCTGAAGATGTAAGCCACTCGTGCGGGAAAAACGTCACAAAGAACTTCCTTTAGTTTATCGCTCCATGAGCACGCAAGCAAATTTCGATTTTTTCAGGTCACGATCAATGCGGAGGAGAAGTGATAGAGAAGAATGGCAAAAAGTTCAAACTGTTCTACGGAATGAGTTCGTGCACAGCAATGAAAAAGTATGCAGGTAAAACAGTTCAACTCACSAAATTGCGAGTTGCGTGAACGCTTTTCATCGTTCCAGGCGGGGTGGCCGAGTATCGCTCCTCTGAAGGAAAAACCGTGGAAATTCCATATAAAGGYGATGTGGAGGAGACCACTTTGGATATTCTAGGAGGGCTCAGAAGTGCCTGCACCTATACMGGGGCGGCCAAGTTGAAAGAGCTGCCCAGAAGGGCCACTTTTGTGCGCTGCACCCAACAAGTCAATAATATATACAGCTAAACCGGCTAAGAAACTAGGTCAATTATTAACGTCTACCAAAGATGTTCTAAATCCAAATTTGTCTGTTTTGTGTACAATTTTATATGCTATTCTGTATTAAATCAGTCGCCGAACGCATACAGAGGGCTTCTAGCTCCCAACTTTAATTATAGCAGACTTCTAATGGTGCCTTATATTGATTTTATTTTTTTTATGAGCGTTTGCGTCTTCAAGCCAATGTAGCACAAGTTATTTTCGGCACAATACGAAAGTTCAATAAAGTTGTTACAAAATATCAATGCAATTGTCGTTTATTTCCCCCCAGACTATCTGCAGACCAATTCAAAATTAATCTTGCCTAACAAGTGCTATCAGTAACGCATTCCGAAGTGGAAGAATCGTAGCTTTCGCCACTACTACAGTTCTGTAGTAACACATAGTTGTTCCACAGAGACAGCTGGCATAGATAGTACTGATTACACGCTGCAGCTGGCCAGCGTTCGCCACTGGTATCGCAACTGGAAGGACCAGTAACTGGAAGAAAAACCATCTTCATCTTCATCTTCGCTTATTTTCTTGGGAGATTAAAAAATAATCCTGCCGAATCAATTTAAATCGCAATTATGCCTGCAAGCGATCAAATGTTTTCCTTAGGGTGTTTCTGTTTGCTTAGAGAGCTCATTGGTAGATTTTATTGACCGTAATTGTGTCTATAGCATATTCAACACATTCTAGGCCCTATGCATGCGATACAATCAACACAATAAATTTAGCGTTAAATTACACCACCAAGAGCTTGAGTCACCTGAAGCTTCAGTGGTTGTAGTTGT